TGTGCCAGGGGAGGGTCAGGTTGGACATCAGAAGGAATTTCTCCATGGAAAGGGTGGTCAGGCCTTGGAAGGGGCTGCCCAGGGAGGTGGAGGAGTCCCCACCCCTGGAGGTGTCCAAGGAAGGACTGGATGTGGCTCTCAGTGCTCTGGGCTGGGGGACAAGCTGGGGATTGATCACAGGTTGGACTCAATCCTGGAGGGATTTTCCATCCTCAATGATTCTGGGATTCTGTGAACAAATTCAGAGCCAGTGAAATAAAATATCAAATCACTGGGGAGTGGGACAGGTGGAGGGAAACCTTGATAAAAATGCTGCTGGCAAGTGCCTGATTTGGGGTAACCTGAGTCTCCCTGAGGCCCTTCCCTGAGCCCCGGCCCCTCTCGGCACTCGGTGCCCTCGGCCTGGCTCACAACAAGCTGATGGAAAAAACCTTCCCTGGCTGCCTCAGGCACTAATCCCAGGCTCACACAGCCCTGGACACACATGCACACGTCGGGGGAGCTGGGGTCACCTCCAAACCCCCAGCAGAAGTGCCCAAAGCCCTCACCCAGCCCAGGGCTGCACCGGGGGATTGACAGCAGCTCCAGGGTGCCCGGTTATAATTTTGGCACAGGCAGACACTGCAGGGGGGGATCATGGCTATTCCATGCACTGCCCTACAAGGAGCTGGGAAGCAGCTGGGGAAAGGCTGGAGAGAGGGAGAGTCTCGGTGCCACATTCCCCAGATTAGATTAGAGCTCAGCCCTGGACCCTGCGGAGGGGCCAGGCTGGTGGAAGCTAAAGGCTGCAGGAAAGGTGGGACCCCAGCCACCTAGAGCTTCCAAAAATAAAGCAAAGTGGGTCAGGGGGACTGAAGAGGGGCTGGAATGCTGCCTTGGAGCATAAGGGTTAGAAGGAAACAAGCTGTCACTCACTGAGAGAGGATTCCCCTCCCCAGAGGCACCGCCTGAAATGTCAGAGGTGACAGGAACGGGACGGGGGAGCTGCAATCGGAGCGTGGTTACCACGCAGGAGGCAAAGGCTTCACCTGCCCTCCAGGAAAGTATTTTAAGCTTGAAAATAAATAAAACTCTGCACCATGAAAGATATATGTTCCATGAATAGGATGTCTTGGAACTTGTCAAATCTTTGGAACTTGTCAAATCGAGCTGTTGTCACAGAACTCCCTGTGCTCTGTCAGTCACCACATAAACAACCCTCATCACCAGCAAACAGAGGGAAAAGTTATCCCAAAAACTGCAGTAATGATGTCATTGAGGAAAAGCTCCAAAGGACATTCAGCACAGAAAGGCAGGCTGATAGCAAGGGGGTTGGAGGAGGTAGCAGAACTATTATAATAATTTATTACATATTGTTAATTATCTATTATAATGTATTATTAATTTCCTATGATAATAAATGATCTGCCCAACTGCATAAATTTATTCCACTTTGTGATAGTGCAGGCTCCTCCAAAGCCTCTAAAAAGCTGACTATAACAGGATCTCAAAGGCTGACTTTGGCCCCAAGGCAGGTATTCCCACCTATTTGATCTCTGTGGAATACAGTTTATCCTCCCCAACACTAAGAGTGGTATTTTCACTAAGTACTGACTGAATACTCAATCAAACACAGCTGCATATTTCATATGGATCCAAATCTTGATGGTGGTGGGTTCTGAGCTAAGTGCAGAGCCCACAGTACTGAAGACTTGATTTCCAATGTGCTTTGGTTCCAACATGACTCCTGCACAGCCACACACTTCCCACTCCTTTGCCCAGTGGCATGCTAGGATCAGTCCCTGGGAAAAACCTCACCCAGGTTTTCCTCAAGCTTGGCTCATGTGGGATTAATACTAAGTTTAAATGATTAAAATTTAGAGTGAGAAATTGGAAGAATTTCTTATAATGCCGAAGGAAAATAAAAAAGAGAGAGAACCTCCCCTAGCCCAGAGATATCCCAGGACACTGGGAACTGATGGGACACTCAGGCAACGGGGAGGAAAAGTACAGAGCAAGGGGCAGAACCAGCACTGCTGCCCACTGTGAATTCCAATTGGACTTTCTGATATTTGGGAAAAGATTCTGGCTTGCATTTCCAGCAGTAGGATCTGACAGCAGCTCCAACAATGGGATTTCACCCTGTCCAGCTCCCGTGTTCAGTGCAGGGTGGGAGGAACCACAGGTCTCCTGCTCCTCTGGGCACTGCTGCTGGGATGCTCCATGAGGCCAAATCCACCAAAACCAGGCATTTTTCAGCAAACCAAATGGCTCAGCCTCGTGCCTGAGCCAAACCAGTGGTCCTTCAAGGTCAGCAAGAGGATCAGCTGGCAGAGGAAGGAGATGGAGAAGCTCCAGCTCTCCCTGTGCCAGGTGTCTGTCACAGGAACAGATAAATACACACTTGTGCTTCCAGGATTTCCACCCATTGCTTATCCCGCCCACAGCGAAGTTGTCACTTAATTTGAAATTAAAAGGGGAGCAGGAGGGATTGTTGAAAGGAGCTGGAGAAAGAAGGGAAGGAGGTGACACCCGAGAGCCCTGGGTCACCCTACCCCAACCAGCCTCTGTCGCTGCTGCTTTGTTCCATATTTAGTTCCTGACAACTGTGCCTGGGGCAGGAACTCCCAGCTCTGTTTTCCCTCCTCTCTGCGCTCCCAGAGCTCTCAGAAATTGCTCTTTCTCTCTCCCAGTGGCCACAAGTGAACCCCACTGTGGTGCAGAAGATGGCAGAGAAGCAGGAGGAGCCCAGCAATGCCCAGAACGGGGAACCCGACAATGCAGAGGAGGGCGAGGGCAAGAAGAAGAAGGTGAAGAGGGAGGACCTGCCACCGTTTGAAATCGTGACAGGGTAAGAGATCTGGATTTAAACACGGGGCTGGGAGTGAAGGGGGGATGTTCAAAGGGCTCTGCCTCAGCTCTTATGGTGGGCAATTAAAGCAGCATCTTCTGCCAGTGCATTTCTGAATATGGTTAAAATTTATTTGGGGTTTTGTTAGAAGTTTTGCAGAGCTGTGAAGGGTGGATTCACACTAGGCAGGCACACAAATCCACTGGTTTTGTATCAGTGGGGCTGTTTCTGCACTGCTGGTTCCCTCCCAGGGCAGGCAGCCCCGGTATTGCTGGCTGAGGGTACCAGGATGGAGGGATTGGCCTTGATGGGAGCTGAATATTGATTTCTAGCTGTGATCAATGGTTCTTGTCGGAGAGTTTCTCTACCTGTGGATTAGGAAAAACACCCCTGCTATGGCTGATTTGCTTGATAGGCCTGAGGGACAGATATTTCAACAGACCTGAAGGTTCAG